TGAAGCCATGAGAGAGAATGAGTGGACCGGACAGGGCACCACTTTCCCATCGAAAGCCCTTAATCAAGTCTAGGGAGCATTAACAGAAGGAGACACGCGCTGGTGACACGCGCTGGTGACACACGCTGGCGACATTTCTCAGCCCTGAAGATGATCAAGAACTTCATGGGTCTCTAGGCAGAACAGGAGCAAAGGAAGGGAAGCCATAGGGTCCTTGGCCTCCTCGGCACCGCAGCTACGGGGCAGGGACTTCCGCGGGCCGGACCGTGTCCCCCCGAAGGTGTATGCTGACACGCGCACCCCCAGCACCTCAGGACGCGACCGTATTTGGAGAGAGGCTGTTTAAAGAGATTAAGTGAAAACAGGGTCGTTAAGGTGGGTCCGAATGCAGTGTGGCTGGTGTCCCTGTGAGGCGCACACAGAGGGACGGCCCCAGGAGGACACGGGGAGGAGATGGCGTCTGTGGTGCTTTGTCATGGAGGCCGGAGCTCACGAACCCAGGGACGTTTCTAAACGGCTGAAAGTCAAGAACCACATGAAACAATTCTTCACCTGGACTGGATGGCGGTAGGTACGGTCAACAGGAAGGTGTCTCCGGAAGCGAGGACCCAGAACGCCTGCCACCGAGGCATCCTTTCCTGAGGAACTTCCTTGAGGAAACAGTCCATCCAGGTGACAATCCAATCGGGGGAAAAATCGCGCTGAGCGATTACCTTTGTCTGTACCGCTCAGTAGATCCCCGTGGGTGGCGAGGACGAGCCAGTCCGAACGGAGATGAGCCCCAGGGGCCGGCGGAGGGACCCGCCATGAACAAACTAACCACGAAGCCCTGGAATGTTTCAGCTCAGGGGCCCGGCGGGCGGAGAGGGCCCTGGCGGACACCAGCGCAATCCGCAGCCCCCTCCGGCAGCGGAGCGGTGGGGCGCTGGGACCAGTTCACGGTGCGATGTTGATAGACAAGTGTGGCTTAGAGGTGACTTCTTAAAATAAAACGGAATTCCGCAGCGGACATCGCAAAGGAATGGGGGAGGGAGGTTTAAAAAACTTTCTTTCGGGAAAATTGCCGCAGATGTTTTTGCACACTAGGGCACCGGCGACAGACCCTGGGGGAGGCCGGGGGAGGGGTCCCCCGGTTTCTAGACCAGGCTTGAGTGAGGGGCCGCGCCGCTCCCACACGGAGCTGCGGGCTTGTTCCGGGCACAGCTAAGCCTCAGTGCATCCTTCCAGCCCTTGTTCCTGGCACCAGCCTGGCATGGGGGACCTTGCACACCCTCTTGCTGAACCCCGGAGGGACAGGGGACCCGGCACTGTCCGCGGCCCGGTCTCCCCAGACCCACCTTCATGGCCTGAGAAATGTTCTCTATGTTCTGCTTGGTCTTCTGCATCCTGTTCTGCAAGTTATGCAGAATTTCTCGCATCTCCTTAATATAGTCGAAGACACCTAGGACGGAAGGACGGAGTCTCACGGTGGCGGAGTGGGCAGGATGGGCACTCGGGCTGGCTTAGCCCTCGTTCCAGGAGATGATGCCTGAAAAATCCATCTAGTCCCCCGGAAGGTGGAGCGGAGGTCCCCGGAGCCCCCCGAAAGGCATTGCCGAGGGCTAACGTGTGTGGGGCGTCTGGGAGCAGGATTTCCCGACCCCAAACAGGCCGGTCACTGATTCTGGCCACACTGCAGACCGCTGACGTCAGGGCCGGCCAGGGCAGCCCTGTCCCCCACACCACCACCAGCCCGAGCCGAGCGGGAGACTTCAGCTTCGGCACAAAGCCCCCGGGGGCGCAGCAGCGGGAAAGAGACAGATTCTCGGGCGGGAGCCAGAGCGGGGAAGCGTGCGGCTTCTTTGCCCAGAAAAGTCCCAGCAGACCCTGGGTCAATAGGTGGACAGTCCCACCATCCTGCTGAGGCCACAGAGGCCGGAGAGAGGGCAGCAGGTGCGTCGGGAGGTCTTGACCTGGGGGGCAAGGCAGGAGCCCCCACCCAGAGTGGGTCCGGGGGTGAAGGGAGTTGGGAGGGGCTT